TGAACTGCAAAATACTTTTACCAACAGAACAACCCAAATGGATGTCTCTAACTAATGAAGAATAAATGCATGATGTTTTCAGCAGTGAATTTTTTTGCTTCTAGAGTACTTCTCCCCTTGAAATTTTCCTACCTCCTTAAAAAGACTGATACTGTTTTCTCATTACACCAGTATCCCCCGATTCACCCAGCCTACAGAGAGAACTTTACAAAGAATAAACACAGAAATTAAGAAGGTAGCACCATTAGAAATAATCACGCTATCCCAATCAGCAAAAAAACTTCACTTATCCTTATCCAATACACTTTGACATTCAGCAGCCTAACAATACAGGGTAAAGGGAGCTCTCATAGCTGTATATTGATAACATTCATAATGGTCATGCATATTACAATCAGAAGTTTTCTAGGATGCTGTTTGCAAAGTAAGCCTTCATGCAGATAGGCAGTCAGCTCATTAACTCCATTTTCATATTTCCTATGAGTCCCTGAGAAGTTAACATTTCTACCTACAATATGGCTATTAAAGGCATTATAACGATCATACACTTAGCTGTTTGTGATGGAAATTCAATGTGGCTTTAGGGAGAAGCAGCACAGAAATTACAGCAAATTAGCGGTGATTAATACAGATCTTATTTCTAAAATGCTTTCTTTTCATAAGCAAGGATGATGAAGAGCAACATAAATGATTTTAGTCACGGATACAAAACTAGCCAGCGCCACTTACCCTTAATAAGTTGCTACTATGAATCCAAGACATTTGGGGCTCTGAGACCTCTCTAATTGAGCATTTCCTTTACATAAAATCATCTGGATTTTGACCTAATATAGGGTCATCATGATCCTTCTTTTAATTACTCAACAGCAGTGCTGGGAGAACTTAAAAGAACCAGGGATTTTCTTTGCTTAACAAGTCTTTTGCCTCTTCAATTAAAGTGATCTCTTTAAATTGTTCAGAATTCAAATGGGGTTTTTTGGTGGACAATTTGCATTATTGCCAGCTGCTCAAAAACCATAAGCTAGGGCTCCCAAAACAAGGGGACCGATTTAAAATTAAGACTTTGGGGTGGGGGGTGGAGGGAAGGGAATAAAGACAAGTTCTTTTTCTTTGCCTTCTGGCTTCTGAGCAGTTACAGATTGCATTTTAAAGCTCTTCCCTACAATCTTCAGGGCTAAATAATGACTTGTAGAAGAAAAAAAAAAAAGGAAAACTGACTTTTAAGTAAGCATATAGCTCAGAGACAGAGTACTACATTTAAATATCATGGTCTTGAGACTTACAAAAAAGTATCACCTAACAAATTGATTTAGAGATTATAATTTACATCTACGTACTGTGAAAAGTTTTTACAATCTACTCTACTTGGTTTTGAGTATTGTTGGAAGTTTTGGATTTGCATACATAGTTTATTAAAATGACTTACTGAGCTATTAAAAACAATTTAGACTTCATGTAACCTATCTCTACAAATATTTTAATTTCTGGTGAAGTTTGCCAATCCCAGTGCAAACTTGAAATCATAACTATTTAACGACAGATGAGCTCTACAGAATTCTTCATGTAGGGTCAGACAGAAAACCTTTCTCCCTCAGGACTTACTTCTGTCTATCACTAAAAGATTAAAAGTAATTTATTTTGATTATATTACAATAAGAAAGAAATCTTTATTGGCCAGTTAAAGACTGCTATATCTAAAAATAATAATTAGCTTTCACAGGGAGTCATTGATACCTTTACCATTAGTTTTTCAGGCTAAAGGTGAAACAGATGTAATTAGCATCATTTGTTAAATGATGAATATCAAGTGGGTACCTAACTCTTACTATTCAAGGAAACTGGAAAGAGATAAGATTATTTGTAGGAATTGCTGAGTTGCAAGAAGCTGAGCAAGTTAGTATAATGTAATATTTATTTTAGCAGAGAGTAGGCTACGTCCTGGAAGTCCTACTACAGCTTCTGTTCTGCTCAAACTGTTACAAACTTTGTTCTTTGCCAATTGGACAAAAAAAAGGTAATACATGTCTTCTCACTAGCACACAAAATAAATAGATTTAGTATTTTAGAAACAACAACAAAGGAAAATCCTGATGACTGCTGCAGGCATTAAATAGTTGATTAAAGTTCCTGCCATGTTCAATTTCCATCATTGTAATTAATGAATCGAAAGGGATTGTATGAAAATGTTTTATAATGGTCTTACTAGGTGAGTGTACTGGAGAGTAACACTTTTGAGCAAAACTCATCCATATATATATGCAGTTTCTCAAGTTCCCTGGTTGTATTTTAAGTCAGAGACATTGTTTTAATAAAATATCAGAAATGCTTTAAGAGGCAACTAGTCTGGCCTCCTTACTAAGGAATTCAACTTTTTATTTGCTCAGAACTCTATTTTGGACCCCTATACTAGAATTCTTAGACAGAAAGTCATAGTTAAAACACAGAAATGCCTGCTAACCAAGCAGATGACTGCAGATGCACCTAAAAGTAGACAAGATCTTAACCAGCACTACCGCTTACGTGGAAGCTTTACTAACGAGATACTCTTTGTAAACCTGTAAGCCACACTCTATTCACCGCTCTCATTTCAGCACACATCGCGCTGAAATTAACTTTACTGTAGGTAGGTTTGGGTGCTGCTGGCAAGGTAGTTGTGGTGTCACAGAACATAGTATGGAAAGTTTGGGTAGCAAGCTAAGGCGAATAGCTCATGCTGAATGCGGTGCTGCTATGAACATATCACAAGCCATATCCAACCTATCCCTCCAAACTAATGAATTACCAGTGGAAAACTGCATCCATGACACAAACCTACCTATACAGTCAACTGAGAATTTTGATAATACCATCTAGGCCTTGTATGATTCAATACTCGTTTTATTGAAAATTGACAGTTGAAGAAATCAACATGTATTTCTGGTCATGAGTATTTATCACCAGTTATCATTTGTGTTCAATTCCAACCTCTCCCCTGTACTTCCAACCTCCGCAACCTCAGCTGCCATCAATGTTAGGCTTCTGGCCTCCCTTGCAGGCTGAAACTGGTCCGAGATGGTAACTAATACTTCTGGGTGAGAGGAGGAGTGCTGTGGACCGAGATTTGTACTAAAGAAGAGGCTGAAATTGATTTTTAAAAAATTATAACCAGTTACTTTGGAAAGAAACCCTTGTGGGACCCAGAAGACTGAGGCAGCACAAAACTGGTATGTGTTAATTAAAAATCATGTTCCATCAAGTCAAAAACTCACTTGTAGGCTTGTATGAAAAGCATAGCTGAGCTATTTTCAAAGTAAACAGCAGGCATCCACAGACAAAAGCTAAGCAAAGGATGAGTTTTGGGAACAGATACAGAAGGCTTAGATTTAAGAAAACTTAAAACTTTCTAGACCGCTCCCACTATCAACAATTTAGGAATATAATACTCACTAGAGAATATTTTACAGAGAATAAATATTTTGAAGACATAGAAAAATAGTTCACAGCATCAAGGTACCTGTAATATATTACCTTGAAATAAAACTTGTATTTAAAAGATTAAAAAGAGAAGATTATTCTTGTAGTGGTATCAACTTTTCATTCATACAAATATTAAGCAGAGTATAACTGTTTTTTTCATATATTCACATTATTGCTTGCTACCACAACTGTACAAGGAACATATTCTTAACTTACATTAATGTTCATGTACAGTAATTTTAGACACCTAAAGCAAATTTTAAAATATGATTGAGTTGCAATTAAAAAAAACCCTTGTGTGTGAAGATATGTACAACTAAAATATACGTAGAAGAAATGAAATACAACTGGCCTGACCCAAGCATATATCATATATCCAGTTAAAAAAAGTCTTACACTTGTGCAGAAAATAAGCTTTGTAAACCAAAATGAGCAGAAGCAAGGGTGCAATAAATAATTATCTAACACATCTAAACTTACACTGTTGCCCAGTGTACCCTGCTTTGATTATTTTTAATACATGGCATCTGCATTTGCATCTGGAACTGTACTGTTCCAAGATTTCTTCAATAACTTTTTCCTCCTCATGTGGCTTTAAAACAAAACAAAACCCCCTGAAAGGTCCTCTTGGACAATAAGTTTTAGTAAAACAAGTCCTTCTGCACCCCTGTGTACAGGATCTGGTAAACAGTAGGAATAAAGCTGATACACGGCATTAGCCTGAATTAAAACAGCTACATTTATAAACTGCAATACTAATATATTTTTGTGATCTTGAGTTCTACTACCCAGATGCATGCAATTCTCTCAGCGACTCTTGTAGTCTGACTAAAATAACTCTATTTTGCTGCTGCTTTTTTTTTTTTTTAAACCTTTAAATTAGAACTTTTTCAGAACCAGCTGACAGGACTTCTTCATGAAAAGCACAGGCATTTCTACGAATGCGATGACATTTGGGTTCCAAAAAGCACAGTTTCAAAAAGAACTTGATCTCCTTTTGTTGGAAGAGGCTAGCCAATATCCCAAAAAGAAATAAAAATATTTACAATTGACTAGTCACTGACAAAAGTTTAGGAAGATCTTAGAAGGTACTTCAGCATGTAAATGAATGATTAAAAGGACTTACACAATGTACAGTCAATCAGTTGTGTCATTTTGGGATAAAAAAATACCTGCTCACTTGTATACCATTTTCAGCTGTGTATTTATAGTAATATATATATATGTACACACACGCGCGCACACATATAAAAGACTCTTTGAAAAATCAAGATACATTAATAAACAGAAGTAGTAAAAGTAACAATAACTTAAGTAGTAGTTAACATTTGCGTGAAATGACTGCAGAGTTTGACCAAATGCACTTAGAACATGCTCTTATTTAAAAAAAAAACCGAACAAAACAAAAAAAAAACAAACAAAAAAGAATGAAAACACCACAAGATTCTGTAGAACCAATGCTATGTCACCACCAGGAGAGCACCAAGCAAGGCACCATTGGAAAGACAACATACTTGAATAAGTCTTTATAAATAAATCAAATGCTAATCTGGTCGAAAAATCGGTGTCTTTGGTAAAAATTCTATAAGGATGACCTGTATAAAAAGAAAACAAATATATATTAAATGGAAGATGGCAGCAATCCTATTATCTATCACAACGATTAAGTACCTCAAGTTGTGATGACAATCAAAGATCACAGTGCTTTTCTTAGGTAGGAGACCATTAGAAAAATCATGTTTGATATAATTGTTTTGGCGTAGAAAACCAAAACTCTTAAAGAATAAAATTCAATTGGAAAAGTTTGCCTACCAATACCTAACGCATCTAAACAAACTGAAATAAGCTACTGCATAACTATTCTTCAATGTAATTCATTTACTTTATTAGGAAAAAAGTATGAAAGAGATAAACGTATTCATTTAAAAACAAAAAAAAAACAGAAGGCACAATGTATGAAAAGTTAATTTTCAATTATACATGCAATTCACTTTACTTCAAAATTGTTTCCACTTAATATAGGATTCTAAATCATGTTTATAGTTCAAAACTTGTATAGAAAAGTGTATCAACCTTTGTAATGTTCCCATATCTAACAAATCTGCAAGCAGTTAACAAGAAACTTGACTAATGCTTTTGCATGATTATTGTTATGATCCCAGTTTAAATTTAAACTATGTGTTTCTGAGCTATATAGACATGGTAGGGTACACTCCAGAATACAATCCAAGTATTTATCCTACTTTAAACAGAAAGCTTAAAGAAAATGTTCACTTGTGCATTTTCTTTCTTCAGAGAGACAGTCATAATAGAGCAGCATGATTGTCTTCATAAACAAATAAATGCATCTGGTAACGTAACTAATGATATTATTTATTTGCAAGGGGAGCTTGCCTTTCTAAGAAGTTAAAAAAGAATTTCTAAATGTTTTTGATTGTAAAGGAGAACACAACTTGGCTGCTTAGAGAGTAAACACTTCTACCTCTGATAGCATACTGAACAAGAGAGAAGTAAGTCTCTAATTTTATTTCTAAGGCACACACTTTTGAAATAATGAATATCAAAATCAGGTGTACGAGTTTAGAGATATTCAGAAGTGACTTATTTTCAGAAGCGATGCAAACTGCTCAAAATCCCTTGATGGATTTCACTCACTGACATGAGTGAACCACTGGATGGTTCAGCAATACCATGGCTTCTGATATTCAGGCAAGGTTTCAAAAAGGGAGCAAGAAGTAAAGCTGGAACACTGTGTTTATTGCCAAAGGTGTAAGACTATCTTGTCTTTATTTAATTTATTTAATTATCGATTTAATTTAGCATCTGCAACAGTGGATTTAGAAGCTCAAAAGTTGGTGCTTTGCCAACTTGGGTACAAGAGTCTAATTTAAATCACCTGTTTTGAAAAAAATTGAGGGTAAATTATTTAGAATTAAATCATGAACACAACATTAAGGGCAGTTTTTAAGAGACTAGCAAATCAGTTCACTGAAAATGAGAAAATGGTACAGAGAAATTTTGTAAAAATTTTCTCATTAAATATATCCAGAGATAATAAATTAGATGTTTCACAAACTGAAATAAACATCTCCAACCTTTATCGTGTAAAACTATATGCCTGTGCTTACATATTATTAATGTAAACAGGTCAAGTGATTTTAAATTGTATTTAATAGAACGAATGTTCATCTGTAAATGTTGCTGGGCCATAGTATTTACAAACTAACATTGTATGTGTTTTTTTTTAATTGAATCTGCAAAACATTGGATGTGACAATGTTTTCCTGTAGAAAAACAAAACTTTCAGTGAAATAAAAAAAGCCTTCATTTAGGTAAAACTCAAATCTACTTTCTGAAATTTGCTTTATTCCATTTGCAGTCAGATCTCGTACATCTAAACAAAAAAATTTTGTAGAATAGATGTTACAAAAAGTCTACTTATTCAGTGAACTGAATACAGCCATTCTGTAAAAAACACATTTTAAAGATCTTATGTTTCAGCCTAGAAATAAGATCTAATGTAGAAACCAGAAAAAGGAGAAGACTAAAAGAAAAAGATTCTTTTAATATAATTTCCAACTATTTAATCACTTTTAAAAATTTTATCTGCATGATAGCTTTGTTGTTTCAAAGAACAGACAAAGTACCATGTAATGAAAGATCACAGATAAGTTAGAACTAATACAGTAGATATTTCTCAAAGGCTAATCTTTATTTTTAAAAAGTTAACCCTTCCTATCGCCTGCTTCCTAGAGCATTAAAAGAAATTATGCAAATTCTAACGTTTCTTACATTTTAGCAGCTTAATTTCATCCTATTCTGTGTAACCCCAAGGTATTTTGAAAATGGAAATAAAAACAGCACCAAAAAAGAGCAAGAAGGTTGCAAGCTACACAAACTGAAATCCCACATTGGACATCATTCATTTTAAACCGCATATAACTTCTCACTGTATATTTCCAGGAAGGGCTTATGGAGTCTCAGCCGAAGATTGAAGTAAGTTAAAACTCCAGAGATTGACTTAAAAATATTTTAGTGACACCAATTGGAGATAAAGATACTTTAAAGACAGTTGAGGTAAGGGGCAGTTAAAATCTAAAAAGGCTAAAGGTTTCTTAAGCTCCAACAGCTTAGTTGAAAGGTCTTCTTCCATACTTTTAGACTTGATTAGCATTATATAAAACAGCCATATCTGACTTGCTGCGTAACCAAAGTTGTGGTTATTCTTTATACAGCATCTAAAATTTCACACTCCATCAGCACATGTTCAAGCTATTTTATCTTGGCAATTAATTTATTATTTTTCAGAACACAGTGAAGCCTTGTTTTCAAGTCATTCATAACTTTATAAATCAGTCCTGCACATGAAACCATGCATCTGTGAACCGTAGAAAATCCTTGCACTCAGGCGATTAAGCTCCTGACACCTTTACTGATTAATAATCATGAAAAGAATAAGATCAGAAGCAAAATAAATGATCATTTAATAGAGAAACTCACAAAACAGCCCTTTAACTTACATATTCCATCATGTTATTCGTTTCACATTTCCTTTTGCTTAGTCTCCAATGCAAGCACAGCTAGACAAGGACGAAAGAAAAAGAAGAAAAATGAGCTGTATTTTATTGCAGCACACAGACTAGCCCATTTGTCCACCTTTCATATTTTTCGTTCAACAAAAGCATCTGTTTCCATACTGTGCAATTCAAACTCCAACAGTACGAAGCTGCTCCCTGCGGCACTCACCTTGTGGTATAACCTATTGTTTTCCCATTCTAATAACTTCTCAATCGATCTTCGTGTCTGGAAGACAAATGAGAAAGAATTTTACTCTTGACTGGTTTTAGAAAAACTTTGTTTTGCAGCTGCTTTTATGTGAAAAGGGGAGAGGTACAGGACAGTGACTGAGTACAGGGTGGTCTGTAGTACTATCAAAACTTCTCTGGTATTAAATAGTAACTAGAACAGAAACAACTTTTTATGACACCCAAATTACTATCTTCAACCATTCCGGAACAAAAACCATTCATATATATGCTTTCTGATTCTTATAGGAGTTATAACTTTAAAACCACAGAAATTTTGAAGTGATCTAAGTATAAAAGCAGGAATACTGCTCCCCCAGTATCAGTGGTCTAAATGCACTGCTTCTAAGGAGGCTGGCATCTAAACTGACAAACGTCGCTATTTTGCAATGCTGTAGCTCAAGTACAAATATGCAATACTCTAAACAAAAGAGAAATATCTGTTACTTTTACATGCAGATTTTAGAGACTGAAAACCAAATGCAGAAAGTTACAGTAAATTGCACAAATGACTATTACTAAATCTGTAATTTGTGTAAAGAGCAAACCCAATATTTAGGATTCTAAAGCAAAGTTTTACTGCCTGTGTTGTCCGCACTTGACACTTCAGATAGGGAATCCTGAAAGCTGTTCTGCGTAGCTCTTTAAGATTATGCATGCTAGTATTAAAGGACATTCTGTGCTGTAAAGTTTCACAGCATTTGGAATATAATTATTCAGTTGTATTTACATTTGAGAAATACATTCTGACATTTATGGTCATTTGACTGCCAGAATATATACTGCTTATCTCTAAATGGGATTTGCTACTGACTATGAATAAAAAGAGGATAATTCATGGTGCCAGGTGTTAAGATGAGACCAACAGAGCTGCAGGTGCAAAAGGACGGAGCAATGACAAGGATCAAATACAACTTAGTGCAGCTGCAGCTTCCTTACAAGGCAGAGAGGGGTGCGGGGAAGGGATGAGAAAGCATCTTGCTGTTATTACTACAAAATACAAGTACTGTAAACGAACCTTAACAAATCAAACTAAATGCTGTCATACAAAAGAAGAATGTTTGACTAAACTAAAAATTAGACAACAAATGATTCATTTCCCACCAAATATTAACATGTTGGTTTTCAAACATCAGCTTCTCCCTAGTTTAATACCAAAGCGGTTGTGGGGAAACACATCTAAGCATGTAGTGTGGTCACATGATTAAAAATTAGATCATTGCGATCTATGAGTAATCATTACACTGAATTTTTATTATGTTTTATTTTAAAAAGCACGAGTCAAGGAACTATCAGAAGGTGGACATGCCAGTGACTAATTTATCACATCAAGTGGGAATTGAGTATTTTGGGGGTTATTGTTATTATTATGTTTTTAAAGACAGTGCCCTTTAACAATAATCAGTAGACCTCACTTGTTTCTTTGTAAAGATAGCCTTTTAGAGTCTGCTCTCCTTTTAAATGAAAATAGGGCAGCAGTTATGGTCACACTTTTGTTAATTTAGTTGCCAGTCAGCTCCAAATCAAAAGAAAATAAGGCTGCAGAGTGTAATTAACATTCAGTTCAGTCGTTTTGTCCCTTGTCTAGCCCCCAAGCTTTGTTAAAATTGCCATCTGAATGCTGAAGGCTGT